AATTTCGGACGTATAGCAGCGTCAAAGTAGGATCTACTTTCTCTCTTACTCCTACATAAAAAAAAGAGGAATTGAGGTTCAATGTAGACGCTAAATTTCGACTCGGGATAGCGCGTCGTTCACAGCCACGTCGGTCGTTAAGTTCCCGAACATATTGTATGTATAGAATATATGTTATATATGTATAAGCGAAGTATACTCGCAGACAAGAGAGAGAGCGTACAAGCAAAAGTCCGTCCGCGTAGCAGTTTCGGCGCGCGCGCGCGTAACACGTGTTACAATTTATACAGGTGTTCGTTCGGCTTTAACCCTAATCGGATTGCTCACTGTGTATACGTAGTTTACTTAAAACTACGAAGTTTACTTAAAACTGCAGTCGAGTCTCGAGTTAAAAGAGAACATCGAAGGTACGCCTCGGGAGTTGGCGAGAGACTTAAGAATCCCGCGCGTACAAGTAACCGAAACTTCGCGCGCGTCTAATGACGTTACGCGGCACACGCGACTTGCCACGCGAATTAACTTCGTTTCTCACATCATTGTGTTGCACGCGCGCGCGCGCCGATCTTGCGCGTGCAAGCGCACACAGAGCGTAAGAGTTTCGCGCGCGAAACTGAACTTTTGTAATAAGTGGGCAAATATTGAAGCAAGAATACACGCACCTTCAAGTTTCCAGACGTGGAATGGCCCTAAACGCGGAAGAAATATCGCGGAGAGAAGCGAGCAGAACGAGAGAGAGTTCGTCATAGTTCAGTCGTGCGTTTGAGCGTGTTCCGCACGCGGTGTTTTTTCGCACGCACGTGAAGTTGGCGCGAATTTTGCAGAGCGATCTCTAATGAGAGGAGGCGTCGGTTAAATTGAGAGAAATTCCCGACGTTCTTCGACGCGCGCGCGCGCGCTCTTGGAGAATACTTCAACGAATTCTCTTGAGCGAGAAAATAATTTTCTCGCCCGATATATTTTCGTATAAAACAAAAAAAAAAAAAAAAGCTACATACGAATTCGATAAGTCGCGGCTAAGGAAATTTCATAGTTCTCAGAATTACCGTTACCGCGCTGTTTTCCCGAGTCGAAATTTAGCGTTTACATTGAACCTCAATTTGTGAAAAAAGGAAATTTCGGACGTACAGCAGCGTCAAAGTAGCATCTACTTTTTTTCTTACTCCTACTTTGAGCCTATCAGAGCCTGAAATGCGCAGTCTGATCAGAGAATTGAACCCTATCCTTTAAAACTTTAGCAGGAAAAAAGGAAATTTCGAACGTGTAGCAGCGCCAAAGTAGGATCTACTTTCTCTCTTACTCCTACATAAAAAAAGAAAAATTGAGGTTCAATGTAGACGCTAAATTTCGACTCGGGAAGCGACTGTGGTGTCGCATCGCTGTTGTCGTTGGCAAAAGTTTCGTCCTTTGGAAGAACAAATGTCAAGCGCCGACTCGCATTGTCTAAGCTATCTACGCGTTGTTTCGGATACTTATCAATTGATACCTCGTACATTAGCCGAAACAAGAAAACAACAAATAGAGAAAGAAGAAAAACATAAACAAACGGAAACACACTAAGAAGAATAACGCAACGGATTCCCGAATCGAAATTTAGCGTCTACATTGAACCTCAATTTTTGAAAAAAGGAAATTTCGGACGTACAGCAGCGTCAAAGTAGGATCTACTTTCTCTCTTACTCCTACATAAAAAAAAGAAGAATTGAGGCGCTTCAATGTAGACGCTAAATGTCGACTCGGGTTATCCAATACGGAAAAGAGATTTCGCATCCTCAAACAATTTTTCGCAACCAAAAAAAAAATCAGTAAACAATAAAACCGAAACTACGCTCCTGAGATCCCCGTTCTTCGTCGGGGATTACCCGGCCAACGTGGCCGGGGCTTTAAAGCGTAAAGCCAGTGTTATTCGTCTCGTCTACTTGCGAGAATTGTCTGGCGAAGTCGAAGTTCTTCGGAAACGACGACGAAGCCAGTTGGGACGACGAAGCTTGCGCGAGAAGCGTAACATTTATTACAGAGAATCGAGAGTCTCGGAGCAGCAGACCCCCCCGATGCCAACCAACACATTTGAAACGAGATTCTGCAATATCGTGACATTTCTATAAGGACTTTTTCTGTGAAGTCTGGAAGAGCACTTTATACTCTCGTTCTTTTTTTTTTCTTTTTTTTTTTTTTCTTTTTTACATTCCCCTTCTGTAAATATCCGCGATATTATCAGTGCCTCTTGTCGGTAATAAACTTCCGCGCACGTGAGATGATCACAGCTGAGAAGATGAGTTTAATCTCTCTCCGCGCGCGCGCGCGCGCGGAGAGCGACGCATTATCGTTCGACGGTGCGGAATTTATTACACGTTTTCTTGCGAAAGGTTTTTATTCGTTCCAATTAAAATAATGTGTGCGCGCGAGAGATTCGGTTCCGTTTTAATATCACATATAGCATTTTCCACGGATTCATCAGCGCAAAAAAAAAAAAAAAAATACTTAATCAGAAGTATATTCGAAATCACAATGGGAGGATATTTCGACAAAAAAAAATAAATTACAAAATCAAATATTACGATCTGAATATCGCGTCACAATTGTGCCAACTAGAAATTAACGAACACGAAAAATGTAGACAAATTTTTTCCGCGTAAAATTGAACAACATTTGTTCGCGCGCGACGCTTAATCATTTTTCCATTTCCGATGTAAGGTAATATTCTCTTAATTTTTTTCTACATCAAGCAAAATAAACTCGTGTAAAACTCTTTGTGCCCGGCGCACCGCTAACTTTCCGTTCGACGGAACAGCAATTTTGCGAACCGGATTGTTTTCGAAACGTGACTTCTTTTGTAAACCAGGAGCGAATATAAATCTGTGGTCGCCGGTGCATTAACATCCCTCCGGATTGCATGCACGCCGGGCAAAAATAAATCTGCGGCCAAGCAGTGCATTAACGTCTCTATATATATAAAATACGTTCCTATAAACTACGGGTCTACGGAGAGAGAATGCGGGTCGGATGGAGGAAGTTCAGGTCGTACGATCGACGTCGCACACGCCGGGGAAAACCCTAAGGCGAAAACTGATTTTCGTCCCGTTAAATGAAACGTTATTCCCCTCCCGGACTTATATTCGTCGCCGTCGCGAGCGACCGATCGCGTTCTACCGTACCTGAGTCAGCGATTACGCGCCTAATTTAGTGGAAACTCAAATGTTGCAAAACATTTTTCGATGCACGAACGCTTCAAAACTTCTCCCCTTCACGCGATATATATTACGGATATAAACTCGCATAATACACGTTACGTGATTTACTCTTTTGACTTATCGTCGCTGTGTTCCTAAGTTTACAATGTAAATGTTTTTTTTTCTTGACAATCTCGAATCTGTTTGTAACCCGAGTCGAAATTTAGCGTCTACATTGAACCTCAATTTTTCTTTTTTTTATGTAAGAGTAAGAAAGAAAGTAGATCCTACTTCGACGCTGCTGTACGTCCGAAATTTTCTTTTTTCCTGCTAAAGTTTTAAAGCAAGGTTCAATTCTCAGATCAGGCTGCGCATTGCAGGCTCTGATAGGCTCAAAATAGGCTCTGATAGACTCAAAGTAGGAGTAAGAAAAAAAGTAGATGCTTTGACGCTGCTATACGTCCGAAATTTCCTTTTTTTCAAAAATTGAGGTTCAATGTAGACGCTAAATTTCGATTCGGGAATCCGTTGCGTTATTCTTCTTAGTGTGTTTCCGTTTGTTTATGTTTTTCTTCTTTCTCTATTTGTTGTTTTCTTGTTTCGGCTAATGTACGAGGTATCAATTGATAAGTATCCGAAACAACGCGTAGATAGCTTAGACAATGCGAGTCGGCGCTTGACATTTGTTCTTCTAAAGGACGAAACTTTTGCCAACGACAACAGCGATGCGACACAGTCGCTTCCCGAGTCGAAATTTAGCGTCTACATTGAACCTCAATTTTTCTTTTTTTATGTAGGAGTAAGAGAGAAAGTAGATCCTACTTTGGCGCTGCTACACGTTCGAAATTTCCTTTTTTCCTGCTAAAGTTTTAAAGGATAGGGTTCAATTCTCTGATCAGACTGCGCGTTGCAGGCTCTGATAGACTCAAAATAGGAGTAAGAAAAAAAATAGATGCTACTTTGACGCTGCTACACTGAGAAAAAAAAGTTGTTGAAGTAACAAAATAGTATTTGATTCAACTATATGCAGCGGTCACGGGCTGTCAATGAAATATTGATTAATGTAAGAAGATATCATGTTTCAATAGATATAATAATTAGGTTACACCGAAAGACAATTTAGTTGTTTTAACAAAATTATAATTTGCTTAAATACAGGTAACTTTAAATGTACAACACAATAGGACAAACACAATATTTTGTCTGCTTATAAAAATAAGCAGTTTGATTAGATAAAATACTTAGTACAAAGAAATTCAGATTATATTCAATTAAAGTAAATGAGAATTGTTTATTTCATCATTTTTAACAGTATCTTTTATTTGAAATTATCACAACTTATGTTTGACGAAACAATTAATGGTTTAGTGAATTAAATATGTTCATTACCACTATTGTTAATTCAACTTATACGAATTTGTTATCTTTATTACCATATGCTTGAATTAAAAAAAACAAGATATTTCAGATAACAAACTGAAAGTCAACTAAACGCATTTAGTTGAGTTAATAGTATTTTTTGTCAGTGTATATACTTACGAAATTTCCTTTTTTCAAAAATTGAGGTTCAATGTAGACGATAAATTTCGACTCGGGTTTTATCTCCACGCATCTCGTGGAGATTCGGATACTTGTCAATCGTCTCACGTCGTAAGTCTTGCGTGACCCAATTTTTTTTGTTTTCTTGTACACGATTCTTTAGCTCGACCGAACGCGAAGTCAGAGTTCACCCCTCCCGCTTTAACTTATTGCCTGCACGGAGTGCAACAACATGCGCTTGCGAGGTTTCGCAGAAGCCTTTACGGAATGGCAGTCTGCTTGTGACCGCGATATAATGAAAACCCAAAACTGTGGTCGCAGTGTTGATCGTCGTGTGTCGAGAAGAACGTCGAAAATTATGGCCGAGCGAAAAATGGCCGTGATTCAAGGCATGTGAAAAATAATTTTCGCGTCTTGCTTTTTGTCGCGAAATGCGAAAAAAAAATCATCGAAGCGCTCGTCTCTTTTAAACGAGTCTCTCGCAATCGAAACCCTCAGAAAGATTCGGAAATATTCTGTTTTTTAATAGCACCTCGTCGAGACAGAGAAGCTTTTTGTTTTGTGTTTCGGAATAAATTGGGAATTCAAAGCTCTTCATTTGTTGTGCTTTGTAATCTCTCTGCCGTAACGTTTTAACGTGTGTTCCGTTCGATTTCAAGCATTCTTTATTTTCTGCGAGCTGCATTCATCAAATATTAAAACCGATCCGTCGCTCAAAAAATACTTTTAATTTGTGTTTCCGAATGAAATAAAATCGAGACGAAATAAAATCGATAACGACAAATTTTTGCGCCGTATAATTTAAGAATAAAACCAAATTTTCTACACGCGCTTTCATTTCAATTTTTTCACATCGAAACAACTCCCCCCCCCCTCGTTATATAGTTCGTCGACCTTCAGTTTTCAAACGACCCCGATAGATTTTTTTTTACACGCCCGAAGCGCAACGACGTCGTGCGAGAGATGCACTTTTCTGAAACTTGCAGTGTTCCTTCTGATTGCCGCCTCGTCGAGAGCGTACGCGCTTCAGGAGTCAACCTCAACCGATTCGACGCCGGACGGTAACAATTGCTCGACCACCGACAGCTTCCTCATTCCTCGTCCGCCAAACGAGTCACGGAAAAACGAAATGGACACGATGGCGGCGGACGTGCTCGCAGACACGGGAAACAAGTTGAACGTGTCGCGTCCGCGAACATTGACCTTGCCGAAGGACTGGGACGAGAAGCCGAAGCTCAAGTTTCCGAAATTCGCCACCGAGGAGCGTTACAAGATGGCGAGTTTGCATCTCGATAGGGGATGGTTTACCTTCGATTTTCTCCGAGGTTTCCTGTCCTTCGTGCAACCGTACGACTTGCCCGTCGGTAAGATAATAATAACGTGAATGGTTTTCCGCGCGAGAGATCGGTTTCTAGAACAAACCCGTGTAAAGCTTTCGGCACACATGCTCGAACGTGGGATTCGTTCCTGTAATCGAGCGAAATCAGTTTCTCGCTCGAGTGTCATCTCGTATTATCGACGCTTTATACATACATACATATATATATATATATATATATATATATATATATAGACGTGTTTCACTTAAAAACTCTCTCTCGTCGCGGACTTCGATCTTATTTAAAGACAATTAACTTTCAGAGATGACTGTTAAGTCAAATCGACTTTTCTCTTTCAATATCGCGTCACGCGAAGTTTTCTCTCTTTTATTTCTCCCTTTTATTAGGTACTGTGCAAAAAAAAAAAAAAAAAAAAACGCACGCCCTTATTATTATTTTTTTTTCTCTTTCATTCGAACCAATAATAAATCTTTTCTATAGTTCGGCCGAGTAATTTAATATTGTAATAAAATTTCAACGTGCGCTAACGTCGGACGTATTATTATAGCGCGCTATTTCCGGCTTAATTATTTCCGATACAATTTTTTTTTTTTTTCGTTCTCTCGTTACAGATCTGCTAACGGACATCGTGGAACGTCGGATAAGCATTGCTAAATTGGTCTCAGAAGTAAGAAGGCAGGCTCAATGCCGAGATGCCAGAAATGTTTAGCTAGCGACGAACGACGCGGGGTGGATCGTTACGGCGGCTTCATTCATTAAGAAGAGCCCTCGAACGCTCTCGATGCTCCCGACCTTATTATTTCGAGAGGACGAGGGAGTTTCTCTCGCGCGCGCGCGACGCGACGATGATACACGCGATATACAATATATAATTTCTCGACCGATCCACAACGTCGTCGTCGTCGTCGTCGTTGTCGTTGTCGTCTCGCGCGGACGCTTTTCGAAGTTAAATTCCTCACAAGACTCTTGTCGTGAAACTTTTACAGTCCGTGCACGTGGAAGCAGCTTTTCTGGGCTTAGTAGGCGTGTGCTGCGTACTGGCCTGCATAATACCTGGCACGGAACTTTGGCTCGCCTGTCGTCCAATCAGAGAGGATTACAAACCCTCCCGACGTCCGGGTGTTCTAGCATTTCTCCTCTACGTTCTCGCCTTTATACTCGGGTACGACCTATGACGATTCTCTCCCCCCCCCCCTCCCCCGTTCTTAGACGCCCGGTTTCGCGAAAACTTATTACCCTCCACTTCCAACCCTACTCGTGTTCGCTGATTCTTCCGTCCTTCTTGATTACGCTCCGCGAGAATATAATCGCCGCCGCGAGCTCGGCGCGCGCGTTGACGTTGAATTTCCCGTCGATTACAAAATCGACGTCAAATCCTTAATTTATTTGCTTTTTGAGAATAAAAAAACGAAGAAATGTTTGCAAGAGGAAGAAGCTATTGTGTTTTGTTTTTGTTTTACATTTAAAAATAATTAGCAAATACTTGAGTAAAAATTAGCAAATAATTAGTGTAATTAATTATTGTAAGTTTGGAAAAAAATTTACATATACGTATACTTTGTTGGAAAATCGCTCTTGCAGTTATAGTAGCGTTAAATATCCAACGCGCGAAAAAAATGTTCCAGCCGAGATAAATAAAATTAGTAGAAAAAACGAGAGAGACGTTCTCTCTCCCTCTCTCTCTAAGTAAGTAGCTATTCGTCTTACCACGCTGTCGGTGAAAAAGCTTTTAACGTGAGTTCAAGCACTCGCGACGTTATTCATAATCCCTCGTGCGTGTGGCACTCAGGTCTTGCATGGCGACGATGATAATATGCAACGAGGCGGTGACAATGGGAATCGGAAAGATCCCCGTGACGTTGGAGACGGCGCTCAAGGATTTGAGAGAATATCACGCGGACACGACGTCGCAGCTGCGAAAGTATCTCACTAGGAGCTTGGACGTGGCCAGCGAGGCGATTCTCGCGGATCTGGACAGTGAGTGAAGATTTTTCTTTCTTTTTGCATTTTTAGAGACACACCGCGACGACGACGTGGCGAAAAACCTCAAGCAAAACGACACCGCGCGTCTCTCTTCCATTTCGCCGCGACTAATGAAGACGGGTAAGGCGCGAAACCACTTTTACAGATGTGTACCACCAACAACCACAGACGCGATTTCCGAGTGGCGTTTCTCTCATTCTTCTATCGTCAACCACACAAACACACACACACACACACACACACACAAACGCGTGACGAGCTACGTACCATAATTACGCGCGCCGTCTTAAGTGCGCCGCTTCTTTCCGGACTTTGCCACCTTCGCTCGTTAAAGTTGACGTGAAGAGTATCCAAAGGACAGAAATTAAACCAGAGGAGAAACAAGAGAGAGAACGTTAACATTGTAAGGAAGAGCGAGATCTTGAAGATAAAAAAAAAAACGCGCGCGTATGAAATACAAGACGCTCGAAAAGCGAAGTAAATTAAGCGGAATAAACTGTTCTTCTGAAGGAGTTTTTTACACGCTTTAAATAGGCTTCCCGCGGTTTCTTCCATTTGTTTATGTTTTTTTTTTGTTTTGCTGTTTTGCTCGAGAAAAAGTCTTTCTTTCTTGTTGGAATGGGAAAGAAAGAAAAAAACTTCTTCCGGTAATGGAGATAGAAAATGCGGCTCGAGAGTAGCCGATTAACTAATTTCCGAACGAGGTCGAGTGTGAAGAGCAGAGAATCCCGCTTGCGGTTCGATTGCTGGAACTCCGCTACTTTGATGCGGCACCCGGATTGTAAGCGATTCCCCGCGCTCTTGATTCTTGAAACGTCACCGCAAACTGACTGAATTCACGGTGTGCTAAACGCGTAGGCCCGCATTTCCAACATCGAAATCGTTCGTTACGATGTCGGTGGTTTCACAGCTGCGGATCTCACCGCTGCGCGCCGTGAACTTGACCGCAAACGCCGGTCGAAATCGAACGATTAACAACGGCTCGCTTGTTTGAAAATAAGAGACAAATCGAGCCGCTAAACTAAAAAATAAAAACTAACTCGAAGTAGGTTGGAAAATACAATATTAAAAAAAAAAAAAAGTTCTTATTATTTTATCACAATTTTATCACATTATTTGTTTTTTTCACAACACGTTAGTTTTAGTCGCTCGACTATAATGTAAATTTTTTCGACGATACCAGAAATGTAGCGAAATAAAAAAATACACGCGTCGAAAAACAATGGCGGATCATAGAGGATTTTATCGTTCGAATTTGCTGTTTATTTTATTATTTATTTTCATTAAAGATAAATATAAATAATATTGTGTACGTGTAATATTTAAATTTTCACAAATTTGCTGTTGTTGTGTCCCCGCGATCGATTATTTTATTTTTACGCGCGAATATCGATAGAGACGGAATGCTGATAGTTGTCTTATTTCTTGTCACGTCAGCGACTGAAAATAATTTCAGAGAAACGGCGAGGATGAGTAAATCAACGTTCGTATTACAAATGTGTATTTACGATACGTTCATTCGTTTAGCTCGCGCTCGGCGCAGATTGAAATATTTTTTATTCGATCTCTCACACGCACGGAATGACCGTCGCGCAATTCGACGCTCTTTATCGATTCGCTTGCGTGCATAACAAATTTATTTTCTGCTAATGTATATATACATATAACGTATGCAACAGATTCAGTTGATTTAACTTGCATCCAAGAGAATATGCGTCGCGCGATAACGATGCACTTATCGTTGATATTTTTAATTAGAATTTCTGTACTGAAAAAAACCTGCCGACAATATAAAAATGATACATTTTTTATTTTTATTTTTACGTAGTGCATTGTTTGTAGTTTGTTTGTTTGTTTTTTTTTTTTTTTATAATTGTCAAACAAAACAACGCGACGCACGCGATCTGTTTTGTATTTTTAATATATTATTATTATTTTTTTTTTTTTACATACTAAAGTTAATTTTTGCATATACTAATCATTATCTTTCTCTCTGTGTGCGCGCGCGCACACTTCAATTTCCATCCATTCGTCGGAAGATCGTGTATCTTCCGCACACACATTTATTTTCGCAACGCATAAAAAGGTGATCAATCTTTCATTTTGATCGTTATATGTAAATATATTACATTATATAACTATTATACACATTTTTATGTAAAATGCAGATTATTTAAATTTTAGTACTTAACTCGAGTATGTTTTTATCGATTTTTGGTTTTATATACTTTCAAGTCGTTATTCATTTAATTCTTTTACGTTGCGTTTCGGTGCTTTTGATGTATTTCTGCCACCAAAAAAATTGTATTCTTGTTTTGAGGATATCCCACTTACTTTAAGTATATTTTATACTAAAATAGGCGCCAAGAAGAGTTTCTTATTTTAAGAGGAAAATCCTCTAAATAAGTAATATTGATAAGAATATATACTGATTAGAATATAAAAAGCCTCTATAGAAAAACATATATATATCTCACTATCGAAAAAGACTATATTCTTAAATAAAGAATATATTCTTAATTTCAGAAGAACATCATCTAAAATCTTTAAGAAGATTTTTTAAGTATAAAATCTTCTACTTACAAGAATATAATTTTTTCGGTGTGGTCTCGAAACTCGGTAAAATCAAATATATTTGACAATAGCTTGCAGAGAGCCAAGTTAAATTCGTTTCAGAAGAATAGTAACGCGTCAAATTATCTTAAAAGTTACACCGAAAAAATTATATTCTTGTAAGTAGAAGATTTTATACTTAAAAAATCTTTTTAAAGATTTTAGATGATATTCTTCTGAAATTAAGAATATTCTTTATTTAAGAATATAGTCTTTTTCGATAGTGAGATATATATGTTTTTCTATAGAGGCTTTTTATATTCTAATCAGTATATATTCTTATCAATATTACTATTTAGAGGATTTTCCTCTTAAAATAAGAAACTCTTCTTGGCGCCTATTTTAGNCTTATCAATATTACTATTTAGAGGATTTTCCTCTTAAAATAAGAAACTCTTCTTGGCGCCTATTTTAGTATAAAATATACTTAAAGTAAGTGGGATATCCTCAAAACAAGAATACAATTTTTTCGGTGTAACAGCTCGCTCTGCATAAATAAACGCGGTAGCAGTTTGCAATGTTTTTGTTTTTTTTAAACCCGAAAATAATTTAACGTGTCAATCGATATTCGTGTTTGGGGGTGATTTCACGGTGGAGACATAGGCGATTCTCGCGTTGGTAGATCCCTCTACGCGGATGAATTACCGAGATGAGAGACGATGTCCGGCGCCACATCGTCTAATGACGTTTCTCACGACAGGAGACGCATAGGCTCCTAATGAAAGCTATAGACAGTCTATAATCGTCGCGTAATGGGTCCATCGTCGCTGGCACGTTAACAACCCTCTCTCCCCTCCCCAAAGCAAATTGAGCTCGTTAGTGCAATGCAACCACTACGGGCATTATGCGCGTTTGCCAGCACAAAGCTCGCTCGCGCGCGCGCGCACGCGCGCGCTACAATTCCTGTCTTGATTTCAGATCACGTACTGCACGCCCAAGTGGAACGACAACGATACGGTTTATCGACAACGTGACTATCTGTGTGCGCATGTGTGTGTGTGAGTGTCTCGTTTCTTTCGGTGTCCACATATCAGAAGCGTATATCATAAAGCGAAATTACTTCCTGAGCTCGATATCGCGAATTAAACGTTCCGCGCGGAGTTTATGAGTCTATGCGGTGGTGTATACAATTTTCCTATATTTTAGAAAACTCTCGCGCGCGCGGTGTGCAAATGTGTCTTGTGTGTGTGTGTGCAAAATTGTTTTACAAAATCGGTTCGTTTTTACACCGTTATCAGAAATTTCGCTTGTCACACCCCGTCGAAAAGAGAGAGCTTGCATCATCCGAACCACCTGCACGCGAAATTTCTATCAGATCAAGATAACCGGACACGGACGCAGGGGGGAGTGGATAAATTATTAGTGCCACGCACCGACGTGACAGGATTTACAATGTCGCGCTCACGTCTATACACTACACCCCATATAAACGCCGCACGCGTTTGTTAGTTTCCCCCAGGGGGGAAAACACGAGCGCGCGCGATTTGTTTTTAAGCGTTTGTCGCGCGATACGCTTTATCTGTTTTCGCGCGCGTTTCGATATTCTAATAATTTTATGCTCCCGTGAAATTTCCGAGGCTGCGATTGGAGGCGGAAAATTTGTTTTGGCGAAGCAACGACGTACAAAATGCTCCGTGCAAAAAATCGGTTCCGCGAGAATCGAAGGGGATCTCTTTTTTTTTTGTTGCCGAAGTAAAAACCGACACGTCCAGAAAAAGAGTTTTTTTTGTTCTCTTTTCGCGCAAATCCGAATTATCGCCGGTCGATGTATATATATATATATTGTCTGCGTAATGCGCAAAGTGACGTGTGTCTGACAACAGCGGATGCTGTTTGTATGCACGCGCGGCGTTTGTATGTTAATGGAATATCCGAATAAGGTCGGACGTGTGTGCGCGGTGATGTCTCGCTCATGTTTTACAGATGTCGAGGAATTATTGGGCAAGCCCGTGCAGACCGAACTCTCCGTCGAGACTGGACTTGACGTGGCGTTGGACGCACTCGTCGATCTGGCGAATGGTAAGATTTAACGAAAAAAAAACAAAACAAAACAAAAATGAGAATAAAAGAGGAGATTTTGCAAAGAAAAAAAAACGTTGGATATTGTTCAATTTCTTCATTGTCTGTGCGTCTCGGGGAAAACGATATAACATTGAGATATTTCGTGATTCTCTAAGATTCGGTGAAACAGATACTTGTATTTATTTATTAGCGAAGTAACGTGAGAGATTAGTGCCCTAAGGATATAACCGTTGTACGTATACAACGCGATGGATACCCTGTGTAGAGGATTATTCCGTTGCCAATATTATAGTTCGTTCGTTAGAACAGGAAGGTTGGCTGTGCGGCCGGAATGTTTGCATATTCATAACCGCAACCTACACGTCGTACTCGTCCTACGTACAAATTAATTTATGCGTCGAATTATGCGTTTCGCATGGAGGAGAGGAACGATCGTGTCGTTCACTTATTGCCTCGCAAGCGTGCGTAGACGCGCGATGTACATTTGACGACTCCGTTGTGGATTTCCGCACGTCGTTCGGCAAGAATAAAAGATTTAATGACGTCGTCCGGAAAAATTGGCAAAAAATCGGAAATTGTATTTTAACGCCGCCGCTACGAGGTAAAAACAACGAAATACAATTAATATTGATGTGATATCGAATAATGTGAATTAATAATACCGACTAATATATATATATATATATATCGACGTGCATATCGAATTAAGGCAATTAAGGTTTCGTGAATGGGCATTTTTTCTCTCGCACTTTATACGCGCACATCAAAACAAATGAATCGCTTAAACCGATATTATTATTATGAAATACGCGTTATCGACGATTCTCGTTTTAGCTGATCAATTTTGTTCGATGGTCATAAAGTTCTATCTTTGATTTCGAAATAATTTGCGTATTATTAATTTTTAATCGAAAATGAAAGCATTTGGAGAATAATTTATTCAAAGAAGGGAATCTCCCGGCGTTTTTTTTTTTTTTTTGTCAATCAAATGTTGCGACGATGATAAGCGAAAGAACTGATCTCTGTCTCGATGTAAAAAAATTCGAAGAAAAAAACTACGTAGGTACAAAGATTTCTCGCTTTCTCGAGAATTTCCCACGGAACTATGGCTGGAACGAGGAAAATCGAACCCCGGAAACATATCGGATATCTTTCGCGTTTGTTGTGTACACGCTGGTCTTTCGAATCTATCTGATACCGGTGAGGCATTACGTTTGTAATGAATATACATCTGTACATAAAGTAAGCGTTACTTGTGTGGACCGCAAATTTGCCCGACGTCACGGGGTGGTTTAGGGTCAGGTTGTTTCCAGTAGGAGGTTATTCGGTCTTCGGAACTATCCCCCGCCCGACGTTAAGTGACCTTCCCGATCTGGAGTGTCACTTAGTCACGGTACTAAGTTACTAACAGTATACTAACTAAATTAGTAGGCACCCGCCGCAACTGCGGGTCTCTCGCTCTTGCTATCTCTCCTTTCGCAGCAACCTCCTCTCGCGTAATCACTACACGTGTATCGCATGTAGTACACACACCGGCGCACCGCACCGGGTGTAACAATCATCTCGTAATCGGAGACAACGAATTCTTTTTCGCGAAGAAACTGTACAAAGAAACTGTACTTTTCGCAGAAAATTCTAATTAATTAATTAATTAATTAATTCGATTCAGTAAAATTCTCCGGAAATGTGAAAAGTTCTCTTTTCGGGCTTTTTGTTCGAAAGTATATATACAAGAAATAAAAACTGACGCCCACACAGACGCGAGATTAAGATCGGCGAAAAGTAGGTGCTTCACTTAAATTTCCATGAGGCGAGATTCGGAGTTAAATATCGAGTTACCGTGCCAATATCAACAAGAAAGACGAAACCCATTTTCTTCAGGAAGTTTTAATTAGAGGAGAGCTTTGGCTGCGCCGAAGGAGGAAGTTTTTAAAGATCCGCTGTTTGAGTTGTCGCGCGATAATTATTAACGTTACGTTTTTGATTATTACATATACGCTAATTATTGTACATACATTAATTATACATACATTAATTGATGATAAATAATTAAAAGGCCGATACGAGCAGTAAATACAGGATGTTCGTGTATAAATGTACTGTGTACACAGTATTTGTAATTCGTTGTCATACACGATTGACATCATTTACTTTATATTTTAGTGATGTTGTGATCTAATTTGTTTTTTAATTGAGTGAGTTTTATTAATTTGTTATTTTTGTATTTTATTACGCGATGTATCTTTTGCGCTAATTATCTATTATATTCATTAGATGTTTATTACACTGAAGAAGGTCCAAACTTGAGAACCAAAACGTATGTGTTTTTGGAATAAAGATTTATATTTATACACGAACATCCTGCATTTACTGCTCGTATCGGGCTTTTAATTATTTGTAACTTTTCACGAGCGATTGATTGATTATTAATTGATGATTATCACATACGCTTGAATATCGTCTTGATTGCTGCAATATATCAATACTGCATTGTTTTTTGTTAAGTGCAATATATATAAAAATTTCAAGGAAAATGGCTATTTGAAGCAGACACAGATGTAATGGTGTAAATATATAAACTTGATATTTTATTAATTTGTAAAACGTTTTCGACCTCTCATTTTAGGTCTTTCTCAATACAATAACGTACGCAAAAATGATTCTCGTCGATGTCAATACATGGCGTAACGTAATTCCTTACAAGTAGGAACCGAATAACTGATTGATGTGATCAAGTTTATATATTTACACCATTACATCTGTGTCTGCTTCAAATAGCCATTTTTCTTGAAATTTTTAAATACTTGAAGCTTATTTACACACTTTTAAATTATGCAATATATATGTTAAACGTTGCAACTTCTTTTGAATAAATTATATCGTCGCAAAGTGTCGCAACCGCCGTCGAATTCGCCTCGCACGCCGTGATACCTGATTTGAATCTCGAGGGTGGGTTTTCCCTTGACGGGGGGGATATGCGTTTGCAGCGAATTAATTCAAGTAACGAAAACCTGTTATCAGTGGTAAGTGCTCGAGGAGACGCGATACGACGCTATCGCTTATTCCCATCAGCGGGGAAACGGGGAAATGGCGACTAGCGGCGGTGTCTTATATAAATTGCTTCGTTACACCGCCGCATTATTACTTTCGGGGTTGTCGGTTAATAGTTTGATAACCTGCTTGAGCGCGCGGTGTGTCGCAAGTTCGCCTCTCGGAGATTATTACACCGCGTATCGCCGATCTCGACAAACACGCGAGAGGGTGCGCGGTAATTAAAGCGCGGCGAGAGATATTGGCGCGCGTGTGTTTTTTTACAAACGGGGAATATATATATATATATATATATATTCGAGAGGCTTCTCTTGTTCAATCAAAACAAACGCTTCGATGAGATTTCTTGGAATTTCTCGCGAACAGAAATCAGTTTGGTTTTCGCGCGCCGCGAAATTCGGAATAAGTTTAGAGCTGGCGAGAGCTGTTGGATAAGCGAAGGGATACAAGAGAACATAGAACAAGAGGGATATATACACGTCGTTAATGGTATCGTATCGCACGTTTCAGCAACGCAGGAGTTATCCGCCAGGGCCGAATCTTTGCTGAAGGAGGGTAAGAGAGCTCACGAACTCGGATTGGAATTGAGTAGAGAAACGGACGAGATACGACGGGACTTGGAAGGTGCGGTGAGAGCTTGCTCGGGTCCAGATCGTTCTCTTTGTGCTGTCATTGACTCTTCGGGGATTCGCCTGGATCTGCGGATAGAACGGGTGAATAAACTTTACGACCCGACGGTTCGTTTCCCTCCGGTCTTCGTTTTCCCGGCCCGGTGATAAACGAACATTTTTGCCAGCATTTTTATTACCGGCCGGCGTGGATGTTTCATTTACACGCGATGGGCGCCGCCGAAATTTTTTAAATAAATAAATAAACACGAATACGTAGGAAAGATGTCGAAATGGGATAGCGAATAATTTTCGGAAAACAGTGTGTGAAAATTTACATTTATTTGATTATCTAACGATGTTTATTTTTTTATTATCTGATGGAATTTTAATTAAAAAATCAAGCTCTCTCAACATTTGCATTTACGTTTTTATTTGCGTTTTTTTTTTTAGCTAGTTTTTGAATTATCCGAGTACGTAATATATAATAACGCTTTATTTTTCGTGCGATATTTTTTTACTTTATGAACTTCCCGGTTTTCTTTGTATATTTATAAAAAGTCTATAACTCTCGAGCCAAATTACTTTATAACTGTTTAAATCTCGATAGTCTAAAAATTTCGTAGAAAACAAGAAAATTAATTCGACCGCGGCGCGCGGAAAGTTTTTCTCAAGGATCTTCATTTCTTTCGTTAGTCACGAAGTTCTGCTTCACACTTACGCGAACTAATACACGCGCTCGCATCTCCAGATTCACAAGTGCACTCATTTCTTTTCTATTACTGAAACAGATTCAACCGCGTTACACCGTGATAGCAGTGTTTCTCTCTCGTCCAACTTCCGCTCTTCCGTCTCAATTTATCATCCGGTTTGCTTTTTCAAGATATTTCCAATACACAAATTTCTCTCTCAGAGAAACTTCTATTATACAACAAAAAGATGTTCTTAAGAAAATAAGACGAACTTTCACCGTGAGATTGCGCTACTCTTTTGCGCGTTTTATCCGATAACGTCTTTGCTCTTCATCGTCGGGAAAAAATACGAAACTTACAACTTGAAGACAATTTGTCGATCGTCGACGCGACGTCGAAGCATTTTTCATAATTTTCAAGTTTAATGAGCAAATTATTTTCATATTGCACAGATTGTTTCAACATACACAGTTAAATCTTTTTGAAGTTCGAACAATTTCATTACAGTGAGAATTATCCAAGTTTTTTTCACAGTGTTTTAAATAAAAAAAAGTAAAAAATTGTTCGATGTTTTTAAAACAAAATCGCGACACCAAAGTCACGTGATTTTTATTATTCGCTGCATCTTTTGTTCCTTCGGAAAATTTTGTTTCTTTATCATTTATTAATCTTTTGATGCTTCAAACGTGGAAAGAAATTTATTTCAAAGCGAGCACGCAACAAATGATCCGCTTATTCTTCAGAATATGTCCCGTACTGCTGCGTTTTTTGCCGTAGCTACTCAGAGACGATCGTCTGCTGCGTCTACGGAGCAGCGGTCGGGAAAATTTGACGGAGGCAGGACGCAGGGCTCGAGGGGAATACCTGTACGTACCGCAACACATCGCCCGGACCACGCTGGATGCTCGTAACCGTAGGTAGAATATTCACGGTTGCGTTCGTCGAATTCATATTATATTATCGGAGAAAAGAGAGAGAGAGAGAGAGAGAGAGAGAGAGATCGTTCTCAATGGGCGGAGAGACTTTTTTTCGATACAAACCGAGCGTGTCTCGCGAATATGCAACTCCGCGGAATTTAGTTGAGCATGCAACTATTACTTTGGCCGCGACGCGAAGGAGAGAGACCTGGGTGCGGTGGATTGCGCAAGGAAATGTTGAAGAGAGCGCGGCGGAAACGCTGGAATACAATGTGCCGTACGATGAGCGTAGGTGAACTTCTGCCTTCTGGCACATTGATGCCAGTGTATTATGATACGTTGACGGGCACGCATGACAACACTCGAGCGCGCAAACTTTACCGTGAAGAGAGAGAGAGAGAGAGAGAGACAGAGAGAAGCAGAAGCTTCTCCCTAGTTTCTCTCGAAGAAAGCTAAATTAGCCCCTTCACCGCCAGGTTTCTCTGGATGTTATGCGAGATGACGCGAATTAAGCTGAACAAATGGCTCACGGCGACGCTCCGCTGGGAAAGTAATAAATGACACGAAGAATTGCGCTGCTTCATCGGCGCTAACTCGCTAATTTACGAACGCGAAGACACTGAAATAAACTGCTCAATTTACTCGCGAGAGATAGAGTTTCTTATCTTTCTTTTTTTTTGTTTTTTTTTTTGTCAACGATAACAATCCGTGTCCTCCGCGTTTACATTCTAATTTCGTATTGTAATTTGCATCACAAAACTATCTATAGCGCGTAACGCGCGGGAATCGCAATTTTGAGAAATACAGTAAGTACTTCGCGTAAACGCGCGTGTATATATATCGCGAAATATCTATCCCGTCGAGCTTTCGATTTATTTCGAGAAATCCAGTTTCTCGTGCGAACAGACACGTCGGTTGATTCGCGAAATAATTTCGACGGCAATCTCTCGAGGAAGAACGCACTCCGACGCGAACAATAGCCGGGAAAAGACGACTAAAACGCTCGGGAAGTGCGGTAAACCTTCGCCGCGATTAAACTATATAGCGCGTGTTTCTGATAAATCTCGCTCTAGTTCGCGTCTCGCATATTTCGACTGCCTTGAAGCAAAGCGAGCGAACAAAGCGCGGAGAGTCTCTCACAGAGTTCCGACGAAATAAGTCCGATGGATTTTGCGGCGGGAGAGAATTACTTCCGAACCTCGCAGGTACAGCTCTCGTGTAGCCATTTATATATAAATATATATATATATATATATATATATAATAGTATATATAATAGTACATATATATATAATAGTATATATAATAGTACATATTATATAATAGTATATATATATACTATATATATACTATATATATATACTATATATATTAGGTCTACCGGAATGTTCTGTCCGTTTTTAGAATAAAACAAAATAAAAATTTTTCTTACCGTCAATAAACTTTATTAAATAATATAATTGCCATTATTATATTAATGATTTCTTGCCAGCGTGAGGACAATTTGTATATCCCATTTTTGAAAAATTAAGAAAAATTTGTATTTTGTTTTATTCCAAAAACGGACAGAACTTTCCGGTAGACCTAATATATATATAATGTATATATATATAATGTACACAAATACACATATACTCAACATTACGCGACGTTTTTGGCGCTCAAGATTCTAATATCGGTTATTCGCGTGTAAAACTTTCTCGAAAAACTTTGTCGGAAAGTAAAACAGCTGAGAAAGCTGATTTAGATTGTGGATTGTGTGTGACCGAAGACAACCGAGCGAGAGAATAAATTTCGCATAAACATTTAAGAGAAAAGAGCGTTTTATCTCAGATTATACTCGGAAAAGTTTTCCAGATTTTTCGGTGGTTCGTGTAATATCTTATAAAGGGAGTACCTTGACGCAAATCCAATATCGAAGAGATACCGCGGCGAAAAAGTGAAGTTTCGAGGAAAATACTTTTTCGCGCGCGGGATTTATAAGGGGCGCGCGTTATCTCGTGTTCTCTTCCGAGATACTTTCCCTTATCTACGTGCCATACACTCTTGTCTACGTCGTACAACAGTGATGTGTTTAAGGCATATTATAACTTTGAAGAAGGCCACTCGGGCTTCTCGAATCGAGTTTTATCGCGAATCGGGGAGAAGCGGAAACTTGCCGGTTTCGAACGAGAAAAAGGCGTTTTTTTTTCCGGATATTCCGACAATTAAACTTCCGCAAATTGTTGACAAAAAAAAAAATCAACGAAAACGCAACATTTCTTATTTGCATCAAGAGAATTAACAAAATTCGCAAGAGTATAAAAAATTTTTTTCCGACGCGCGTTTCTCTCGTTATTTCTCGCTCGACTTACAAACGATAAAGTCGTATTTTTGCTCCCGCTTTTGCGTCTGACACTTCGCTAAAGAACATTTTATCTCGCACTCGAAGCGTATAAACGTCTTTCGAAACGTTGACAGCTTGCAAGAAATATGTGACGCATGTGTTAATTCCCCCGGCTTTACAGCAGAATGCGCATAAATTCCCAGCGTGGAATATACCGGGCACATATTCGCGCGCCATGGATTATTTCCAAATGCGGGATTATATCTTAAAGTACGCGGTGCGATTCGCAACAGAAGAGACTCCGGGTTTTTGCTCGAATATTCTGTCTTTATTTTTTTTCAAACGCTCATTCAGACTAAAATATCAAAATGCAATGTACGTTTGACTCTTTGACTCTCTCTTCGCAATATTTCTTTTGATTTCGGCTCGAAAAAAAACAAAAAAAAAACAAAAAAAAAAAAAACAGTTACAGTCGGGTGCGACTAAATCAGCAACTTGTTAAAACATTCCCATCTCGCATTCACCTTCGCTCTCTTTGAACTCGGATCGTTTAGCGCGACAAGTCGCGTTTCTCCATGACATTTTTTTGCACACGCCCCCCTTTTCTTTTATTATTTTTCCACGTCGCGCTGTACAAAACGATATTTCGTCACAGACCGAGACGAAGTGTGTGCGTCAGCGTTTTTGTCCCTATATAGCGCGATGAGCGCGGAGATCATCGGTTAGAAAGGGCGAGAGAGTCTGGGGAGGGGGACTTTATCCTTAATAGACAAACGAAATGCGGCAAATGCTCGGAGCAAACATCTCTCTTCGTGTTATATATATCTTTCCCCGAGGCAGAACCGTATAAACTTTCGCGATGGGATCGGTTGATTGATGTCAGGAGAGTCGCGCGTTGACGGGCCTGTCGTGTCGAGCAATATCGCGGATCTGTTCCACTTGCTGTTTCAACGTCGATATACGTGACAGTAGCGAGGGGGCAGCTTAAAAAGTGTTTACAATGACGTATAATCTGTTTATTTATTACGCGCGCGCACACACACACACACGTATGCATTATGTCGCACATACACAGTAAAAAATTGTGCGTCAAAATGTAGAACTTTTCTTGTGTTACGACGTTTTGATTATTACTTCAATGTAAAATTAACATAATACTGATATGTTATTATTTTTTTAATCTTTTCACGTGTCAAATTTATGTTAACTTCACAAATTATCATTTTTTGCATGTCATTTAAAAATGGAATATTGTTTAAGTGCTTTTAACACAATGATTTCAATTAATCTAGATGTCTTAAAGTCAATTTAACATACTTAAAAAAATTTTAAAAATCTGTGGCCACATTGTACAAACTAAAATGTTTTATTAACATTTCTTACGAGTTACTGTAACTATTGTTTTGTGCAGTTTTAATTATTTTATATGTTATTTTTACATCACGCTTACAGTCAAAATAACAAATATAAATGTAAAGTATTGTGTCAAGTATTTGACTTTACTAGTTTGTCAATAAGTGACTCACAACGAATAAGTTGTTTTAACTTACAATTTAGAGTGGACCTCCTGGGACATGCAAAAAATGTTAAAATTAACATTTTTTTTTTTACTGTGTACCTATCGATTCCGATATTGCTTTAATTAAAAATCTAAATATTTCGTTCAATTGTTTTTTTTTTTTTGTACATGAAAAATTCGAAAGAGGAGCGTCGGAACAAATTTTAAATTGAAATAGTTGACAATTTTAATTTATCCAAATGAACAAAATATTTATATCTGTTTTTTTGAATCGCACACATTTTTTTTTTTCTATGATTTGCTTTCAATCACACTTCGTTGTATCAAATTGTTCATTGTTACAGCTGCTCCCTTTTTGTAATTAATATCCGCGATATTGTTGTGAAATATACTTCCGATCGTTGCGGAGCGTATCGAATAAGTGATATATTCTCATTGGCGATTTGCTGTTAAAAAATTATGCGCGTAAAATAGCGCAAAATATATATAAAGAAAAATTGATAAAAAGATCAAATGTCATTGAGCAATGAAGTCCGTTGATAAATAAAAACGTATAAAAGAGTTCCGGGAAATTTATTAATAAAGAAAATTGAGAACATTCCCTCAGGGAATCAAGAATGATGGATACTACGACGCGCGGGAATGTCGATGAACCGAAGCGACGGCGGACGACTTGTACTTTCCTATCGACTTCTTAATTCGCTATCGACCAATAACGTTTAGTCGTCCTCCGCTACCAACCGTCCGTCTCTAGACAGATCTCGACAGAGAGGTGACGCTTCGACGCCTAATGCGAAATCCATATCGCATTAATATTACAGTGAGAGAAAAAAATGCGCAAATAGTTCGTAAAAATTCGTTTCCAACGGGTGATGAAGTCGGAAAGTTTTTAGAAAAACGAGCGAAGTTTGTCGCGCGCGCGCGCGCGCGCGATCAAAGATTGTTACAGTTCTTATTTAATATTTCCGTACATATTTTGCGAAGAAAACCAAAGAAAAGTTGACATTAAATTATTTTGATTGTTAACGCTTGATAAATGAGCGAATAACTTTTTTTTTTAACATTCGAAGATGTTTTTCGAGTTTTTGAACCGCGTTAGTGTCATTTTTATATAACGACGTTTCGTGAATCATCTCAGCTCAGCTTCATCGGGGTTTCAAGAGCGGTCTGACAACTTTGTTTTTTACATGCAGAATTAATAAAATACACAAAGTCACATGTTTAAAAGCCGTAGGCACATTTGCTTGATTCCGCATTGAAAATCAGGTTAATAAAATAAAAAGTTGAATTTTTTATGTGATTAAGTGCGAGAGTAAAACGCGATGCGCGAGTAGATTTCTGCATAATTTTTTTTTTTGTTTTTTTTTCGACAAATATTCGTTTTTCCGCTGTAGCAATGAATCGCGAAAGAATCACAAAGAACGCACAGAGAAAAATTTCATATTTCCGTAGTGATTCGACGCGAGATCAATGCAGCACGTGCCAGGATTGTCGATCAAACGCGCAGCCTAGAGACGAGCAGTTTCGAACTCTCAAAGCAGCTGGATTCAGCGAGAAACGTCGCGGATTACGCAGTACCTCATGTCATCGCTTTCGAGCATATCAGATGGATCGTCGGTATAGGTATATATACGTAGAATTTTTCAAGATTACATTGAATATTTTCTCGGCATTCAACGTCGGCGTTCGCGTTTGGATATTTGAAAAACGATAGCGCGCGAATCGTGCGAAGCATCTCCGAACGCGAGTGAAGGATTTAAAAAGCACTCGGCGAAGATACATTTCCGCACGCATCTTCACGTGAGATGTTTTTATATAACATTGTTTGGAAAACGAATTTTTTTTAGTTTTTTTTTCTTTTTTTTCGATGAGAATAACGTTTCTAATCGCATTTTTTGTTTTTTTTTTTTGTATTTATATTATTGATAGCTTTATTTGTACAATTGCACTTGAGAATAATTCTTTACGGTCCAGAACAAAACGACCGTTGGAAAATAATGGTTTGTTTGCTTGTGACGTGTACACACAGCTACTGTTCTGTGCATTTTGCCGGTCTTTTCGCTGCTGATTGGGGCTTTGTGCTGTCGCTGCGGATCATCCGAGAATAAAGTGCGTCCGACTCTTTTATGGTAAGCGTTATTTAATTCGTATAAATTATTAACAAAAGTGTGGAAAGAGTAATTTCGTTCGCGAAAATATGTTTTTTTTTTTTTCAACGTGGTTTTCGGAATATAATCTCGTTTGAAGATATGTTTTCACGAAATGGTGTTTTTTTTTTTTTGTTTTAATTTTACGAGAGAGAAAAAGAATTGTTTCTGTATACGAGATGCACAAAGTATTCCCGATATGGAATTTTGAATCGAATTTAATTTGAATTATAATGTGTATTAATTTACACGTTTAAAAATATATTTCGCACGTACGTCCAACGTTTTGTCTCGTATTGGTCTCTTCGTATGTACCGGCTCATACCGGTTCTCTCATATAGTTAAAAGAGCTCTTTTTATAAAAAGAGCTTTTTTTTTGTACAATTTGTACATTTTATATATTTACGTTTTCAACACTTTTTTCTTTTTTTTTTTTTTATTGTATCATTCGAACAAGTAGAAAAAAATTTTTCGGCACGTATAGTTTCATTTGATGTAATAAAGTAAATATAAATTTATAATGAAATTTACGCCAAGTTTATACTATGCTGCAATATTGCTTAGATAAAGTTCGGTTTACATGCAGTCTGTGGATTATCTTCGTATCTTGTACCTTACCTTTTGTAATTTACCTCATTATGCTTCACGCTTTTTTGCCTTTATATTGAGAACGTTATAGTTATTAATTATAAAATTATAATTCGTTAATATAGCAATCCGTTTCCATCATAATAAGACTGTAATATTTTTCAGCGTAATAAACAAAAAAAAAAAAAAACAAAAAATATGCCGCGAATGCTGCAATAAAACCTTATTGGCGAATATGTACAACGCTGGTGCGATAAAATGTTTTAATATCGCGAAGCGCGATATTACAACACGTGAGACAATATTTGCGTTGCAGTAAATTTATTAACGAATCGCGTCACACACACGCGGCAGATAAAGGCTCGTATAGAAATAAATCCTTGTGCGAGCTAAAATATAAGACAGATTGTCGTCGGATTGAGCGCGTCGATCGGATTTCAGCGGCGTGGTCGCGAGTTGTTTCGTCTCTATTGCGTTGTGGGCCGTGTTCATTGTCGCTATGGGCATCGCCAGCCACACAGAGATGTTGATTTGCCGACCTCTTGAAGATCCCGACTATCGCGCCATGGAAGCCGTGCTGGAAACTCGAGCGTTTCTTGGAAGAAGACTCGCCGTTCCTCTCAAGGATCTCTTTGAGTAAGCTACGGTGTTCTAATCAAGCTAATCGCGTTCTCTGCACGCGGATATTATATTCCTCCTCGAAAGACGCGTTTAGGGTAGAGCTGAAGATTACGGAAATCGGATACGTCTACGGGCGCTTGTTACAACTTGCGCGTTAATTTGATCGAGGGAGAGAAAATTTGTTTTGTTTTGAAAAATTAACTTTTTTTAAATAAATTTTTTTGTTTTTTTTTTCATCGTTTTGATTTAAAAAAATCATGTTTTAATACGCGTGTAATTTCATTTTGTAATGATATAGTACAGTAAATGTAAACTCTCTCTCTCTCTCTCGTGCGAAAACCGCGCCGCGTTGCCTCGCAATCGATACACCAGCAGTTCGAGTTACACTATTTTGTTTTATTTATATTTTATTTATACCATAGACGCTATTCAGACTTGTATGCAAACGTGCGCTTTTAGCGGCGGAGTATTTATTTTTTGCAGAAAATGTCGAAACAACGAGGCGGCGTATCCCGCCTTTGGGCTCGAAAACGTCATGAAATTGGAACACATGACCGCGCACTGGACGTGGCCGGGCTTGTCGAGAGCGATTTCAAATAACAAAATCGATCTGAAGGGTCTTCAGATACTTACGCCGAATTTGCGTCATCGTCTTCAGGATCTATTGTACGCTTGCAGCTTGAATCTCACGGCGCACAGAATTATGGTACGTAAGTTGATTTATGAGCGCAATATGTTGTTTCGCGTTTTATTGCAGTCTCTCTCTCTCTCTCTCCCTCTCTTGGTCTCTCGATCTCTCGTTCTCTTTGTTCTTTTCGAATAAGAGCGTTAAAAATAGAGACAGAAGTTTTACCGGACTCTTTAACAAGTTGATTAAAGCCGGAGATTACTCCTTGCATACCTTTGAAGAATTTTCTTGAGAGAAAAATCCACCCCGCCTCTTAAAGAAAAATAACAAATTTTGCACAGCTGCATCGCTACCGCTAATGCCAGACCGGCCGCTATGATAAACGACACGGATTTCATAGCGAGTGGTTTTCCGTGATTATGCTTTAATGCCGCTGCTAATTAAAGTGTATTTAACATCGCGCGCACAACTACGGCGATTTGTCAAATAGACACACCGTACATATTAACCGAGGACTGATTAATTCACACGTGCACGCGCGCGCGTATACTACTTTGATATTTTAATTTTGCAACGCGCTGTTATGTCATTTAAAGCATTTAACAAACACAAAACCTTGTTCAACACGTAAGTGTTGAATTTGATGTTGATGTTAATTTTTTTGATGTTTATTATTTTCAATTTATGTTGTTGGTTTTTTTTTTTTTTTACCGCAGATTCAGGGACCAATTCTGAGCAAAGATCTGAACACGATGTCCGATCAACTCGACAATATATCTCGTCAGCTACAGGATCGTAGTATCGCCAGGGAGTTGCACAGCATCGGAATAACAATGCGCGATTTATCGTCGAGACGAGTGAGACCCTTGATGAAGTTGCAAGACGATCTGGTGTATCGTATCACGGTATTGGAGCTGCAAGTGCAACCTCTCTGGCGTCAGATCAATCAATCGATTTCCCACTTGAGGACTATACAATATTTCGTAGATCATCAGGGAGACAAGATCGCTCAACTGGTGTGTGTTTCCAAACAGATTCTCTCTGCGGTATTATGTAAACAAATCAAAATCTCGGTTAAACGTTATTTATAAGATGGAACATTAGATACCCGAGTCAAATTATTGTTATATTTGTAGAAAACAAAATTGTACAACGACCGATTGACAGGCTATTTAGATCAATGGCGAGCTCACATGCTCACCGAAATGGGCACGGCGGTGTCCAAGTGTCGGCCGTTGTGGGACGTTCTCGAGGGATTGAGAAACTTGTTTTGCGCTCATATTTTGGGTCCTTTCGTATGTAAACAAACATTGAAGAGATTCAATTATTTAATAGATATCAATATAGTTTCTTACACGATTTGTATTTATATATATATATATATATAGGACGGTTTTTGGTTCGCTACACTCATATGCGTGGTCGCGATGATAGTCGGCACGCCGACCGCTCACGTTTTATCGCTGGTGTACAAAAAACCATCTTATTTTAAAAAAGACGCTGTCCTTTTGCCGAGAAGAACGTTAGTATAGATTATTGTAATTCACTTAAAGCAATTATTAGTTTTTTATGTTTATATAAAAATATACAACAAAAAACTATTTTTAACAGGGAGAGTATTACTACAGAGCAGGAAGCATGGCAAACACCAGAGTAAGTATGAGTTAAAAAATTAGAACGCGTTTTTTATTACCTTATGCACTTAGATTATTATTATTATTATTATTATTATTATTATATGTGATATTATAAAAAGCAATCATAAATGCACATTTGTCAACAAAATTGTCTATTTATATTAATAATCGCAATTATATATATATATATTTCTATT